GCGGGGGCGGGAGTGGGCAGCGGGTAGAACAGTGCCGGCATCACTCAAGCCCCTGAGCACAGAGGAAGCTAAGGCTAGAGAGGGCAGAGACCCGCTCAAGGTCACTCAGGCGGTAAGGTCAGACCTGGACCCAGGGCCCAGACCTCCCAGCCTAGGACGCTGGCCTCCGCCCTCACCTAATGGTTTTCAGAGGTTCTTCCCACCCCGTGGGCACATTTCGTTTGTAAAATGAGCCTCTTCCATTAGTGGGGCAGAAGCAACTGCAGGCCAGAGAGGTTCTGTGACTTGCCCTGGGTCACACAGCAGAGCGTGGCATCGGGAGGGGTCTCAAGAGGGGCCATCCTGGGAGGGTCTGGAGGAGGCACGCTGCCTCCCAGTGCCCACTCAGGACACTCAAATGGTCTCACCTGGGAGGAAGGTGCGCGAGAGCTTAAGGGCCCCCAGACCAGGTGTGCCCTCTCACCCTAGTCAAGGGAAGCCGTGCCCCTGGCCTCACTGGCTGTCTGTGTCCAGCTCACTGCCCTTTGGGCTTCCTCTGTCAAATGGGAGGAGACCAGGGTTGTAGGGCCCGTGGAGGCCAGGAGGCCTGTGGGAGGGAGGCCTGGCCAGTGGACTGAGCCCCACCCTCTCCTGGGCTGGCCTCCAACCGGTTACTCATTAACCCTTAAGTCCCCACCTCCCTTTCCCAGGGCTGCCTTCTGTCGGCTGCCTCCTCCTGGCTGTACTGCCGGGGGCAGGCCAGCCCTGGGTGCTGCGGCCGGACCTGGAATCGTCGGAAGTACCATTTATCGATCACTTCCCTGGTCCTTGGCCTGCACGGTGAGGCGGGAATAAGGGGCTGGTTTACAGATGAGGCTTCTAACGAGAAGGCAGGCCTTGGAGGATGGCGGAGCCGGCCACCAGGGACAGCGCATCGGCTGGGCCTGGGCTGAGTTCTGGGTCCCTCACTCACTGTGGCTGGATGGGGAGAGGGTGCAGGTGGGGACTCCTCTCTATGGATGGGCCCCTCATCCAGGCAAGGGTGCAAGGCTCCCTGGGGTGCCCTCATGAGCCCCAGCCACTGGCCTGCTCCCCTTCCCCGGCCCCCGCTCTGCCCCAGCTGGGTGAGTTGGGAGATGGTAGCTTTAACTCTTGACGGAGCCCTTAAATCGGAGTCATTCCAGCCACTCCTTTTCCCAAGCCCAGAGCTGAAATCCCTGGACAGTTAGTTGCTCAGTGGCCTCATGGAGTCGGGGGAGATGGCAGGGCCTGAACCCCTAGCCAGGCCAGCAGCCACGGGATTAACAGGAGGCTCCATCCTGCCCCATCCCACCTCAGGGCTACCCGAGACAGTAACCCAGCCTCAGCAGGTGGGTGTTGGGAATAAAACGTCTCCCCGTACCCGGCCCTGATGACCAAGACAGCGGCCCGGCTCAGCTCAGGGGGACGGCCCTTCCACGGACACGCTGGGCCATGCGGGATGGGACCGCAGGGCCTGGGGGTGGGGGCGGCTTATGAAGAGGCTGGTTTTCCGGTTGGTCCGGCAACTCCCAAAACAAGTTCATTTTTTAAAATCGCAGGGCGTAGCTGGGTGTCTACTTCGCCCGCAGGCCGGCCTGCCGGGTGGGGGAGAGCCTGGGGGGGAGGCAGAGCGAGCGAGAGTAACCATTGTCTTCAGGGAGGCTGCAGTGGGAGAGAGACCTCTGGGGTGTATCTGCCGGCAAAGAATAGGCGCCTCAGTGTGGCCCTCCCCCCTCAGCCTGCCCTGCGGGGGGGGGGGCACGCACACAGCTGGGGCCGCCAGCAAACCCCGTTCTATATATGTAAGCGCAACAGCCTGCGCCCCCGGGACAAAACCTCATTGTGAGGCACCCGCCGCCTGGGCGCCCCTCCCCCAGCCCCAGAACTGTCATGGCATTGACCCTCCTCAGTGGCCACCAGGGACCTGCTGACTGGGCCACATCTGGGGCTTGGGCACCAGCCGCCCCTCCCCCCTGGCTGGTCACTGAAGCAGGGGTGGGGGGTGGGGGGTCAGCCTCGGTGGGAGCAGCTTCCAGGCTCTCACCCCAGCCCCTCAGGGCGGCCCAGCTCGTCCCCACTCTCCTGCTCTGGGGGCCACCGGCTGGCAGAGCCAACAGCTCCAGGCTGGCTAGGCCGGCACCCTGGCCTGCGCCAGATCCTCCCAGCCTCGGGCCGCAGTTTCCGTCTCGCTGTGCGGCAGGGCGGTGAGGGGGGATGGTTTTCAGCTCGGACTTGCAGAGCCCGAGAGGCTGTGAGCGGAGTGGAGCCCTTCCGCGGCGACACGATTCGCTGGCTCTGAGATTCAGGAGTCCCTGCTTCCGAGGCCCCAGGGGTCGAGGATTTCGAAGTTTGAAAATGCCGTTGTCCAGCCGGGCAGGCATGGTTGGTTCAGTGGCTGAGCATCGACCTGTGAACCAGGAGGTCACGGTTCGATTCCCGGTCAAGGCACAGGCCCGGGTTGCAGGCTCGGTCCCGGGGGCGTGCAGGAGGCAGCCCATCCATGATTCTCTCTCATCACTGATGTGTCTGTCTCACTCTCCCTCCCCCTTCCTCTCTGAAATCAATAAAAATATATATTTTAAAAGAAAATGTCGTTGTTCGTTCATTCATTCAACACATATCTGTTGAGCACCTACTGTGTGCCAGGGATGCTCTTGGTGCTGAAGCTACAGCAACGATCAAGCCGGAACAATCCCTCCCCCTCACAGGGCTTCTGATCTAGAGCAAGAACAAACACTCAATAAAACTCTCACGGGGAGAAGGAAAGGCCTCACCAGGGGCAACTGCTAGAGGCAGGGTGTCAGACGGGTGATGTGGGAGCTGAGACCTGACTGCTGAGAAAGAGCCAGCCATGTGGGGACAAGCATGATGGGGAGCTGGAACAGCACGTGCCCAGCTCCCGCGGCAGGTGTGAATGTTGGCGAGGAGGCCTTGGCGGCCGTGACTTAGTGAGCACCCGAGAGAAAAGTAGGCGCCGAGGTCAGGGGTGCAGACGGGGGCAGACCCGACGAGGCCTTGGGGAGCAGGGCAAGAGGGTTCACTATTGTTCTGAGTGCAGAGGGGAACCACGGGTTTTGGCAAAGGAGTGACACGACGTGATTTACGTTTTTAAAAGGTGATCTGGGAGGGTTGTGGGGATCCGTGAGGAGGGGGGCTGTGCAGTAGGCAGGGGAGATGAGGAGGCACCCAGGGTGGAGGGAGGGGATGAGAGAGGCGGGTTTACCCTGGACGCCCCGGCAGGTAAACCTCCGGCCTCACCCTACCGCACGGGGCAGCAGTGACCGAGGGCAGCTCCCAGGGTCTCCAGGGTCCGGCTCGCAACTTGACCTCATTACCCGGAAACGCTTAGAGTGGTCGGCAAACTCATTAGTCCACAGAGCCAAATATCAACGATTGAAATTTCTTTTGAGAGCCAAATTTTTTAAACTTAAACTATATAGGTAGGTACATTGTTATTAACTTAATTAGGGGACTCCTAAGCCGGCCCTTTGCTAAAAACGTCCTCCATCTGACTGAGGTACGTTTGCTGAGGTCGACCCCTTCCAACTCTCCCATCCACACTCGTCTTGTATACTCGTTTCATCCATCTCCTTTCTGAAAACCGACTTCTGCGCATGGGCCACGAAGTTTCAATCGCACTGTATGTGCACACCGGCACGTGGTATTTTGTGGAAGAGCCACACTCCAGGGGCCAAAGAGCCGCATGTGGCTCGCGAGCCGCGGTTTGCGGACCACTGGCTTAGAACGGTGCCGTCCAATACTGCAGCCACACGTGACTACTTAGGCCTGAACCTGTTACAATGAAACAGAATAGAAAGGTCAGTTCCTCAGCCACCCAAATAGCCACATCTCACGTGCGCAGTGGCCACATGTGGCTAGTGGCTACCACACCGGCCAGCACAGGGGACACTTCCGTCATCACAGGGAATGGCACCCACGGCGCCCCCTCGCATGGGGCTCGCTGTCACTGCGCCTCGGTTTCCTCATCTCTAAGGCGCACAGCACAGGGTCTGCTGGGCCGCGTCCCTGGCTGAGGTCATTACTGCCGATCTGGGGTGAGGAGAGGAAATGGAGGGTGTCGCGGAGGTTTGGTTCTGAAAACCTGATTCAGAATCCTGCGATCCCCGCCCGCACCCCCCAGCCCCCGTCCGAGGGGAGGGCGAGGACTGCAGGGCAGGGAGTGGCCGCTGACAG